TATTGTGGAGGCTGAGGTGGCTAGTGAGAAGGCGGAGCTGGCTAGTGAGAAGGCGGAGCTGGCTAGTGAGAAGGCGGAGCTGGCTAGTGAGAAGGTGGAGCTGGCTAGTGAGGAGGTGGAGCTGGCTAGTGAGAAGGCAGGGCTGGCTAGTGAGGAGGTGGAGCTGGCTAGTGAGGGATCCGTCACCAGAAGAAATACAGAGCGGAACAGCTTTCACCTTCAAGGTAGATCTTGGCTCCTCTGCATTCTCTGCTATCTCTATGGATGGGCCCATTCTTTCAGAGGGGTGGTCTCTGCTATCTCTATGGATGGGCCCATTCTTTCAGAGGGGTGGTCTCTCCCCCACATGCAGATATATTATATATACTCCGCAATGATAACAGAAGAACTATTGTTGCCACATTGGCGGCTTCATGAAACTTTCCTGCAAATATCTGTACTGGTCCTCAATTCCTTTGTTGGGTTGGAGGCCCAGATCCGAGGCCCAGCCTACCGTATACAGGACCACGTCACCTGGCACTAAGCTCCACCTCCTGATATTCACCTGTCAGAAGCTGTTGACCAATGGCAGAATGGCATGTGATGGACGGGGGGGGGGGGCATGGGGTCCTCCTGGGGGGAAGTTGGGGCTTTGTATATACCCCGCACCTAGGATCTGGGGGGGCTAAGCGGGCAGTTTCTACTTTGGTGGACATGATCGGTTTATTTCCCAGGAATGTGTCCGCCTTCCGGCCGGAGGTCTTTATTCTGCCGGAGTTCTGGGGTCAAGGGTCACCCGAGATTCCTTTACCTCTCTTCTCATCTTTTGGTCCTAACTTCTCTGTGGAGCCAAATTCCCGGAGCGGATCCGTCTCATTCTCGGACGTGTTCTCAGAAGGCTGAAACAGAAATATTTATCATGCAAGTGAGTGATAGAGAGGAGCAAAGGATAGCAGGGAGGTCGGGGGTACAGGATGAGAGGGAGGTCGGGGGTACAGGATGAGAGGGAGGTCGGGGGTACAGGATGAGAGGGAGGTCGGGGGAACAGGATGAGAGGGAGG